TTTTTTTTTTTTAATTCCTCTCTCTTTGAGGTTTTTCTGATGCCTACAGAGTGAGCTCAACTCCGAGCTTTGCAGCTTCCACAGGAGCGCCGGGAGGAGCCGCATTCCCGCTCCTTCTCCTGGGAAACTTCGCCATGCGCCTGGTAAGGGATTTCATTTCGTGCAGCAATGCCCCGGCYTCCCTTTGGGCAGTCCGGAGGGTCGGCAAGAAGCAGCTCCCTCGGGAATTACTGAGGGATAATTAATAATGCCGGGAGTGTGGGGTGCCCATCGGGACGTGGATGTTGAATTCCTGAAGGAATCTGTGCTCCAGCAGCGCGTTTTCCAGGGGAGAATGAGGCTGGAATTATCACGATTCCTGACGTGCTGGAAGTTTATTAAGGGAATTAAAGGCTGGGTTCTGTTGTCGGCTTGGGAATGGAGGGGGAATCATCCCCGGCTGATAAAAATTCCAAACAGCGCTTGGAAGAGATGCCTGAGGATTCTCAGCGCTCTGCCGAGCAACGGCCGGGCTGCTGTGGCAGAATTCCCCGGGATTTCACAGCCTTTTTTTTTGTTTTCTTTCGGGGAATAGAAACGTGGCTGCGCTTCCTGGGGGGAGCATCCCGCGGCTCTCGGGGTTTCTGCTCCTGGAATGGCCATGGGATGGATGCGGGGCTCCTGAAGCGGGAGTTGAGCTGTTTGTCACCCGAAAGCCGCCGGTTCTGGCGGCTGCGGAGGGGCCGGGCGCTGGAAAGCGATGATTTCATGCCGGGAATGCCTCGGGACCAATCCGAGTCTGGCTGAGATAATCCCTCCGGGCTCCATCGATTGTTTATTTTTGGCATTCCTGCCGGAGAGGCGGTGGCGGGGCTGGCGGGATCGGATCCGGGCGCTTTCCCGGCTTTGCCCTCGGGAGGAGCTGCCACGGGCTGGTTCTGCCATCCCCAACTCCATCCCCTCCTCCCAGGGCGCGGAAAGCTCTCCCGAACCTCATTGCCAGGGAATCCATCGGGGTGGATCCACCGCCAGAGGGTGGAAATAAAACAGGAGAGGCAGTGCGGGGAGTCGGGAATGGCTCCGCGGGAATTCCAAGGGCAGGGAGCGACCCGCAGGTCGGGATCCATCCCGCACATCCCCTTCCTCAGAGGAGGCCAAACGCATCGGGATTGATGGCTCAGCCACAGCTCCAGCGGGGAAGGCTGGAAATAAGCAAATATTGAATTCTCATTGCTCCCAAGCTGGAATTTRTCCCAGCTTTTCTGTTTCCCAGGACTTGTCAGACAACGCAAACTCATTTGCGAAATTGCACAGGGGAGAAAAGGCTGCACTGGGAATGTCTCCTTTACCTGGAGCTGAATAGATTTGGATTTCTGTACAAGTTCGAGTTTTTCAGCTTCTCAAAAGGCTGGAGAAGCCCTAGAGGAGTCTCATGAATAAAAGAACTATGAGAATTCCCTGAGCTTTGGTGCTGGGATTCACCTCAGGTTCCCAAAGCAGCACTGTAAAACCTCTGGAATTGTATCCAACACTTTTCTCCCCTGCTTTCCCTGAGCATTGCAAAGCACGGATGGAATTAGAGCATTTTCTCTGCTTTAAAGCCCTTAAAACTGGGATTTTCTGTTGCTTGGGGCTCCTGCAGGTTCCTGCTCTGGCATTYGGGGATTCCTGGAATCCCAATAAAACCGGGGACACCCTTTATGTAGGTTAGAGACTGCATTAGTGCTCAAAAGCTTGTACCAGACCCGACGTACAGGATGAGATCAGATGCCAGGGAATGTTTGCACTTCCAGTAATTTCCCTGGGTGCCAAAGGAAATGCAGGAATAATGTCAGACGGGCTGGGATGTACTGTCTCCTCGGGGGAAGTTCTGTTTCACGGGATCTGTAATTATTGTAGAGACCTGTGGCTCTCCGGGTCCTGATTCCAGCTGGGAAAACCCGAAATTCCAAAATCCCGTGTTTTATACAGCTGGAAAACCCGGCTGCAGCAGCCTGGAGCACCGGGATTTGGGCRGGCAGGAGGAGCAGGACACCTCCACAGATTTCTGTGGTGTTCCCCTGGGATCTGAGCCCAAACTCGCTCTGTTTACAACAGGTTGGATGAGTAAATAACAACAGAGTGTAAAATCAGCCTGAGGGAATGTCTCCTGAAACACGGAGCTCGGAGCTGGGGCAGCTCTGTTCATGCCGAGTTTTCAGCAGGAGTTTGGTGTGGAGGATTTTGGGTCRGACATTCAGCAAGGTCAGAGCCTTTGAGGGCGCTGAAAATGGTTTTGAGGAAAAAAAACGGGGCTGAGAGCACGGGAGCCTTTGTGTGCTGCTCCTGAAATGTTTGGAATTAACCCCAACTGGGCTGGGGCTGGCAGCTCCACCCCGGTGGGGTGGGATCCAGGACTTTTCTGGGATCCAGGGCTTTTCTGGGATCCAGGGTTTTCCTGGGAGCCAGCTTTGCCTGTCCAGTGGCAGATGTTTCAGCTGTCCTCACCCTTCAGCTTCCCTGTTGTCCCTGATTGTGGGTGGGGACAAACAGGTAGGAAAGGGTTATTCCCGGGATTTTGTGAAGGGCTGGGGGTGAGAGCTGCTCCTCCTCAAGAAAGGGATGTGGGGATGTGGATGTGGGGTTATTTCTCTTTCCCATTTCCTCAAAAGAAGGAAAGGTAACACAGCACAGAGGGAGGAAGGGGCAACTTGTCCTGCAGGGAGGGAGGAGGTGCTGGCTTCCCTCAGCCTGCCCAAATCCCTGAGCCAGCCCTGGAAAAACAGCTGGAACCCAGGAGGGGGAGTGGGAAATGTGGGGAATGGGGAATGGGGAGAGTGGGGAATGGGAACGGGGAGAGTGGGGAATGGGAATGGGGAGAGTGGGGAATGGGAATGGGGAGAGTGAGGAATGGGGAGAATGGGGAATGGGCACATTCCCAAAGCTGCCCTAAATTTCATCAAAATCCAAATTTACCCTGGATCCCATCAAAATCCAAATTTACCCTGGATCCCTTCAAAATCTAAATTTCCTGCCAGRTTTCACCAAATCCTGGCGAATCACCTGCAGCCCTTCCCCCTTGCTGCTCCTCTCCTTTTCCCACCCAAGCAATGCCAGGGWTTTTGGGAGCTCTGGGAAGCTCTTTCAGGCTGTGCAAGTTCTGATTCCCAAACTCTGCACATCCCAATCCCGATATCCAGGCAGGGAATTCATTGGGATGCCATGGATGGCTCAGCCACCCCTCCACTGCTGCCTTTTGCTCTCTGCTTGGGAATGTTATTTACATTTATTAAAAATCCATCTGAGAACGCTCAATGTGGAGCCTTCTAAAGCAACAAGGAGCAGCTGCTTCCAGAAAGACACGGATGAGGGTCTTGTATTAATTAATTTTCTATTAATCCTTTAAATTCCCTCCGTTATCCGGTTTTAAAAGCATTTAAAGTGTTTTTTTTACGTGCTAATAACGGGATAAATGAGAAGTGTTGAGCATTCCCTTTTCCCAGGGAATTTTTAGTGTGATTTTAAATCATCTCCCTTCTTGTTTCTGCTCTCCACAAAACATCCCAAGTTTTTATCCCCCCTCTTTCCTTCTTTCCATGAGGAATCTGATGAGGCTGGCAGTGCCTGATGGGAATTTTCCATCGGGTGGTGGCCATTGATTGGAAAATCCTGATGGAAAATTGCAAAGGGACAAACGCCAAGGGAATCTGGGAATGCTGGTGGGGTTTCAGCTCAGCCTGAATGGGGGAAGGTGGGAACCCTTTTTAGGATTGTTTGGGGTCAGCATTGCTCTGTGTCCAAATCCTCATCCCAAAATTCTCCCAAAACCTTCCCCTGCTCCRGTCTGGTGGGAAATCTGCAGTTCTGTAGGGGCTGGATTGATATGGTTGGGATAAAGGAATTGTTTAAAGCTGCTGGAAGAATTCCTGGTGATCCAGGATGGATAAAATGCAGATTAGGATGGGAAGGATGTGGGCAGGGATCAGAGATGAGAGGATTTTTTCTGGACACAAAGCCCCACCATCCTGGTTTTTTCCCAAAGTGCCATTGAAAAACATCCAAAGTTTTATGTAGAATTTAGAAATTCATCTCTGGCCCACCATCTCAGGGCTGGAGTCACATTTGTGTGGATTTTCCAGAAGTAGCCAGGGCAATGTTAATGTGGGAGTGTCTGGGGARCAAACTCGGAGTGTCAGAACAAGACTGATCCCCCTCCATGTTTTCCCTAATAAAAGGGAAGAACACTAAATAATTAACGTCAACAAATGAAAACTAATTTGCCAATTTTTAATTCTCCCCCCGTTGCTCCCTGTTAATGCATAATTCACCAGCCAGAGATGAATGGAAAACGAAAGGATCTCTCTGGGGCCTGCGGTGCTCTCTGAACAGCCCAGCTGCCTGCTTAGATATACAAACATATATTTTTATTTTGTTTTTAAAGAGTGAAAAATAACCTCAGGGAAAAGAGCCTTCAGCAGGAACCGGGCAGGAATGAAAAGAGCTGCAGCCTYGGGAGATTTCCCCGTTTCCTTCTAGACCTGAGCTGGTTTGTCTGAGGCTGTTTTTGAATTATTCATACCAAGTGGAGCTCTTGGAATGGGATTGGTTTCTATCCCAGGGTTTCCCGTGCTGGTTTTTGGGATGTGTTCCAGGTTTTCCTGGGATGCCCTTTATTCCAGGGCTCTGCTGGGGATTTTTTCAGTCCAACAYTCCAAACCTGCTCTGTGCTGAGTGCCCAGGGCTGCCCGTGGCCAATGGGGCAGCTGGTGGGAGGCTGAGCCAGGGAAATGAGGGAATGGGATACCTGAGGGGTTACCAAACCTTGGGAATGATGCTGAGGCTTTGGAGCGCCACCTCCATGGGAAAAGGGTTCATCATTTTAGCTCTGTGTTGGTTTTAAGATTTTTCCTCATCCCAATCCTTGTGTAAGACCAGCAGGAGCATCTCAGTCTGTGGGAATATCCCTGCCCATGGAGTGGGGTGAAATGAGATGGGATTTAGGGTCCTTCTCACCCAAACCAGGCTGGAATTCCATGGAATGGGGTGGAATGAGATGGGATTTAGGGTCCTTCCCACCCAAACCATGGTATGGGGTGGAATGAGATGGGATTTAGGGTCCTTCCCACCCAAACCAGGCTGGGATTCCATGCCATGGGGCTGGCACCGGCGTCCATGGGATGTGGAGATGCTGCTCGTGTTGGAGGAATTATATTTCTTTATAGATGGGATTATTTTTTACAGGAACCTTCTGATTTCTGAACCAGTTCATCCCTCTTTTGTGAAAATTACAGACAGCTCCCCATGCTGGGAAGCTGAAAATTGGATTAATTGATTTCCTTTCGGTTTTCAAATCCTCCTCTGTTGTTGTCATTGGAATTAATAGGCTCAGGAGSTGTAAAAAGAGCTTCCTGCTTTTCCTGGGGAAAACCCCTCCCCTGGGAATTCAGAAGATGGATCTGTCATTCAGGTTTCCCCCCTCTCCCCCTCCCTGCTGTGTGGAATTCACCCTGCCTGGGCTCCAATCTCCTCAGATTCCTCTCCAGAGGAGCCCAGACTCAGGTGGATCATGCAATTAATGCRATAAAAAATGAAAAAATACAAAATTAGCAAACCCCAGCATGCTGGGAACGCTCAGGATGAAAAATAATTAATGGGAAAATGGAATGAGCACATTCAGGACTAGAAAAAGGCACTTTAGATTGCTCTGGAAGTGCTCCTCAAGCTTTCCTGGCTCTTTTCCCCTCMGTGTCTCCATGGCTGGAGCTGCCCAATCCCTGCCCAGGTCTGTTCCCAGCTGAAGGAGGAAAAGGAAAACCCCAGGAAGTTTTCCAATATCTTTCTGTTCTATCTGGGGTCAGGAAGGCTCTGTAACCTATCCTGGATTCCAGCAGAAGCACGGATCTCTCCCGATTCAATCTCCTGGAGCTGGAATTGGCAGCTGGGTGGGATGTGGGGCTGGGGGGTGGCACAGCATCATCCTGGGTGTCCCTGTCCCCCTCAGGGATCCTGCAGCATCCAACCCCTTTTGCATGGACACAGCACCATGGATCATTCCAGGGATTTTTCCATGGGATTTTTCTATGGATACAACACCTTGGATAGCTCCGTACATTTTTTTCCATGGCCATGTCACCATGGATCACTCCATGGGTTTTTTCCATTGCCACAGCTCCATGGTTTCTTTCCATGCACATAGCACCTTGGATAGCTCTATGTTTTGTTTTTTTTTTTTYCCCATGGCCACGACTCCTTGGATAACTCCATGGATTTTTTTTTTCCCATGGACACAGCACCATGGATCACTCCATGTGTTTTTTCAATGGCCACAGCTCCATGTTTTTTTCCCATGGACACAGCACCATGGATCAGTCCATGGGTTTTTTCTGTGGACATGGCACCATAGATAACTCCATGGGTTTTTTCCATGACCACAGCTCCATGTTTTTTTTCCACGGACACAGCACCTTGGATAGCTCCATGGTTTCTTTTCACAAACACAGCGCCAGGGATCGCTCCATAAATCCCACGGCAAGGAGCTCTAATCAATATTCCATGGTTAATGAAGCCCAGCTGAAATTAGGATTGATTTTCTGTCTCCTCCCTTTCCTGGTGATGCAAACCTTGCTGTGCCCCTTCCAGAGCTGCTGTGCATTATTTTTGTAGCTCGGATATTTCCCTTCAAACTTTTGCAGGACTTACCAATAAACAGATCCATTTCTTTCTAATTATCTTTTATTTTTAAGTTTAAGATCTCACCGGTGGCCCCTGATGGACTCTTTTGTTTTGGGGTTTAACTCCCAACTCCTTGAGGTTGAGCTGAAATCTCCAAGGGCTTCCTATAAAAATAATTAATTTCTTTTCTCCCTCTTTGCAGGAAGAGCTCAGGAGGCTCCAGCACACCTTGGAACAGGTCAATGATGGCAAAGACTCGCTCCAAAGGTAAATGGGCCTTTTCCAAAATACCTCATCTGTGATAAAGTGAAAAGGATTTTGTAAGGCACTCCAAAGTGACTCCACAGGTTGGGCTCAGCTTTTCCAACATTCCCTGCCAGGACCTGCCATTCCATTCCTGCTGCTCCATCCAAGGCAGCGCTCCCAGATGTTGCATTTGGAAATTCCARCATTTTCAAATTGCTTTCTCCAAGCCATCAGTTCCYACCAACCCCTTGGCCATCATTTRTTACACAGAATTTATTCTTCACCCYCACACGGCTTTTGCTGCTGTAATTCATTTGCTGCCAGCATTCCCATTGTTCCTTTTCCTCTCCAGCTTTCCCGGCGTGGCCCCAGGGATGGAATTTAATTTTGCAGGAATATCTGTCCTGTTTTCCAGTGGGTTTTTTTTGTGTGCAGCAGATCCTCACCTGGGTGTGCCTGTCCTTGGAGCTGATGGCAGGTTTAGCACAGGGATTGGGGCAGATTCCTCACAGGAAATCGGATCTAAATTCCCATTTTTTTGTGGGAAGCTGGACACAGAGGTCCAGATTCCTTCCTCCAAATACAGCATCACCTTCTGACAAGCAGAACTTGTTTGTTCTTGTCCATTTTTAATTCTTATGGAATTAATTCACAGGATTGCAGGAATGTCAGGCTGGGACATGCTGAACTCATTTCCTTTCCTTTCCCGTAGCCATCAGCTCGCCATGGATGAAGAAAACAATATCCAGAAATATCCCCTCAATCTCCAGCCCTTGGAATCCAAAGTGAAAATGTGAGTAAGGAGAAACGTCGGGTCTGCCTTGGAATGCAGCTGAGGGTGTCCAGCTCCTGAGTTACAGGATCTGCACTGGATCCATCCTGGATTTCTGTGTAACTGGATAAAAAAAACTTCCAATTAGTAAATTAATTCAGGTCTGAGTGTGTGGGGCTGAGGAAATTGGGATTGTTCAGCCTGGGAGGCTCCAAGGTGATGGAATTGTGGCTGAAGGGGCTCCAGGAGAGCTGGAGAGGGAGTGGGGACAGGGGATGGAGGGACAGAACACAGGGAATGGGGTCGCATTGGAAAAGCAGAGACTTGGATGGGATTTTGGGCAGGGATTGTTCCCTGGGAGGGTGGTGAGCCCTGGCACAGGGTGCCCAGAGCAGCTGTGGCTGCCCCTGGATCCCTGGCAGTGCCCAAGGCCAGGCTGGACATTGGGGTTGGGGCACTCTGGGACAGTGGAGGTGTCCCTGCCATGGCACGGGTGGCACTGGATGGGATTTCAGGTCCCTCCAACCCATTCTGGGATGAACATTCTGAAACACCAAAGCTGTGGTAATTCTGTCATTTCCTCTGTGCAACTGAAGAATTTCTGGGAATCTGACGGATTTTCTGTGTGTGAGGAGCAGCCAGAGCAGGGCAGTGCAGCACAGAGCCCTTTCAGTGGGTTTTTCCCCATCCTGGATTGGTTTTCCAGGGATCCCTGGAAGGAGCAGCCATGACAGTGCCAGGGCTGTAGAGAAGAGCAGAATTCCCGATGTGGGGTGCAGCTGTGGCACCAGAAAATCTGCATTTTCTCGGGAATCTGGGCAGCTTCCAGYGCTCAGCAGAGGCACAGGGATGACACTTAGCTGTGCCACCGGGAAGGGAGGGATGAACATTCCCGAGATCCCAAAATGAGCTCCCAAACTTCCCAATGCCATGGAATCAGGGAATCACAGAATGGTTTGGGTTCACTGGAAACAAAACCTTTGCTCATCCTCGCATCAGTTAAGATAAAAAAGATGGAGGGATTAAAAAAGGGACCTTTCAAGATCCTTTAGTCCAGCTCTGAGCAGGGACAGTTCCACTGAGAGCAGCTCATTAGTGTGATTTAGGGTGTTTTTAGGAATGGGGATCCCCCACCTCGCCACCAAAATCCTGGGAATTTTTTCCTGAGTGTCCTTCACCAACACCCCAAATCACCCCAGCAGTGCCTCGTACAGACCCTACAGAGGCTGTTCCATGTGATTTTTATCCAGATAAGAAAACAAAACCCAGGAACCCCCAATCCCAGTGTTTTGAGGCAGAGATACGGACTGAAATACTGAAATCCTCTTGTTTCCCCAGCATCCAGCGAGCATGGCGGGAGCACCTGCAGCGCCACGATTTATCCCCACCCCGAGAGCTGCTGGACAAGCACAGCCCAGTGTCCCCAGTGTCCCCAACATCCCCGGTGTCCCCAGTGTCCCCAGCGTCCCTGTCCTCGGGCAAGATGAGCCGCTCCGTCAGCATGAACACCTTCTCCGACAGCGGCACCCCTGTGAGTCCGCCTGCAATTCCTCCTTTTGCCTTTTTTGGGCTTCTTTTCTGGGGTTTGGGATAAGGGAAAGCTCAACTGTGGGTTCAGGGGGATGGTAAGGGGATAAAGAAATGCCTCATGTCGGCTCCTCAGGAATGTGCGGATGTTGGACCTGGATTTCAGCAGATTTTTGAGGTGCTCTTGATGGGGAAAAGGTACTTCTGAGTGGCCTCGTGTTCTCCTGTGTGTTTAGGATATTGTGTYCCCAATTTTGGGATTTGTGGTGCTTTTTCTGCAGATCAATGTGGTTTCTTGGCTGATTTTTGGTTTTGTTTCGTTGGGGTTTTTTGTTGCTTGGTTTCTGTGTTTGCTAAAAGAGACTTTGGGAAGTTGATTCAGGGGTTCAGAATTAAATTTGATTTTGGAATAAACATTCCACCTTGACCAGGGGCTGGAGGCTGCATTTCCCTTTTTAGGGTGACCCTACATAAACCCCAAACACGGAGCCCATTTTTGGAATACAAACGACCCTGTCACTGCCTCAGAACTGGGATTTTTAGGTCAATAAACAAATAAATACAGTGCCTGGAAATGTTGCATTCAGCTCTGTGACAGAAGCCATGATTTGAGGGAATTAGAGCCTGGAATACATGGAATAATTTGGGAATTTTGGGAGTGGGAATTGCCATGGGGTGTGGTGGAGCAGGAGGTGTCACCCTATTCCTGAGGATTGGGTGATTCCTGAGGATTGGGTGATTCCTGAGGATTTGGTGATTCGAGGAGGTTGGATCCTCATTGGGAGTGTCCCCATCGCTCTCAGTGGGTGCTGCCACCCACGAGACAGCCTTTGGTGACTTCTGAATCCCTACAAAAAATTTGGGAATCCTTGTTCGTGGTGTTCAAAGTTGAATGAGTTTAATTCTGCCCTGAGTCACAAAGTCTTTTGTGAGCGATTTTATTCTTGTAAAGCCCAAGGCTCTGATCCAACAGAGTTTTCTGTGCTCAAACTCTGCTCTTGCACTTCTGGGGATAATTTGACTTTTTCCTGGGTTGGTCCAGGTGTTGATCCAGACCCAAAGCTAAGCCATTCCCATCAGGTTTATTTTGGGACACAGTGCTTGGACAGGCTGCACTCGCCTGATGGAGTTTAATTAAAAATAATCCTGGTTTATTTTCAGTCGGGAGCTGGAGAGCGGGAGGATAAACCAGGTTGGAATATTGGGTTTGGCACTGATGTTTTATGGATTAAATGGGTTTGGCTCCTTTAATTAGAGGAATAAATGAGGATATCGATGTTGATCTTCCTGGGATCAGCTTCCACCAGAGGTCCCTCATGCCCTGCACAGGCACTGGGACGCTCCGGCTGCTCCAGAGCTCCCACAGCACTCAGCTCGTTTGGAAATGACACTTTTGGGATGTTTGGGAGGTCTGCATTTATGGGGAAATGAAATTTGGATTTCAGGATTGGGATTTGTGTTAAGTGACACCCACTCATCTCACTTCAGCTTCACCCTGAATGCAAAGGAAGAGGGGAAGGTTTCCCTGCATTTTTCCTGTCAATAAAAAAAAAAAAAAAAATCCCTGATTTTTCCTTGGAAAAGCAGGGAATATTTCTGAAGGCAAAGGAATCCCTAATTATTTATTGTGCCCTTAATTATTACAATGTCTCAGGGCCTTCAGAAGGATTAGGACAGGAAAAATCAGAGTTTCAAGAGCATTTTTTTCTTTCTTGCCCTTAAAATCTTTTCGTCCTTAAAAGAAATCAGACAAAACGTGCAACAAGCAGTATAAACAGTAATGAATCCTGCAGGAAACTGAAATCCAGGGAGAAAGCTGTACACTGAGAGTAAAAAAATGTCCCAAATTAGAGGGGAAGTCTTTTGGCATCGTGTACAGAATGAGAGTGCAGGGTGGGACACTGGGCAGTGACAGCCTGAGCACGGCGGGATTCCCAAAATACCAACACTGATCCACTTGGAATCGTTCAAACTCCATCAATTCATCCATTAGGAATATTTCCAACATTTCCAC